AGGGCTGCATCCCAGCAGTGCTGCCATGCCACAGACACTGCAGCAGCTCACATGTCCAGCCCGCCCAGCAGCCCAGAAGTGAAGGCAACCCCAGGAGCGAGGTGTGCGAGTGGTTTTTGTGAGGGATACAGGTGCAGGGCACATGCAGATGAACGTAAAGACCCACACATAGCAAGGACAGCCTGGCTTCCTCCTGTCTTCTCCAGCGTGTTGGGGGAGACAGGCCCAAGGAATAAGGTCCCTGCTCATCTGCTTGTAAAATAAGCCAGGAGTCTTCACCTCTGTGCAGGTGCACAGAAGCTGTTTGATAGCTCACTGCCCAGAGTCATGCAAGATTCTGCTCCTTTCTGGCTCTGAAAGGGCCAGGCTTCAGGGTGTGCCCACTTAGAGTAGGGGGCAGCGCTGGAAGGCCCCTGGGGTCAGGACGTGATGAGGATGGTAGGACAGATGGGCACTTCTTTTTTTTTTTTTTAAAGATTAATTTTTATTATTTTTTCATTGGAAAGGCGGATATACAGAGAGGAGAGACAGAGAGGAAGATCTTCCGTCCGATGTTTCACTCCCCAAGTGAGCGCAATGGGCCGATACTATGCCGATCCGAAGCCAGGAGGCCCCCCCCCCCCCCCCGGGTCTCCCACGCAGGTGCAGGGTCCCAAAGCCTTGGGCCGTCCTCGACTGCTTTCCCAGGCCACAGGCAGGGAGCTGGAAGGGAAGCGGGGCCGCCGGGACTAGAACCGGCGCCCATATGGGATCCCGGGCGTGCAAGGTGAGGACCTTTAACCACTTCTGAGAGGCCTGTTTCTACGGACACTGAGGACGGAGCCTCGGACTCCTTCCCACAGCAGCTTGCTGCCTCCTGGGCCTTTCTGTGGGCTTCCAGGACGCTGGAACCAGCCAAGCAAACACACTGTCCTTTGACCAGGGTTTCAAAGCATGGGTTAAAAACCAAAAGATAGCCTCAGGAAATAAATGCAAAATACAGGTTGAGTAGTTCAGGATAAGCAGCTCAGGAATGACAAACTGCTGGCAGGTTTTGTTGCTGCTGTTCCATCCTGGCAATCCTTTGAGTTAGATTTCCTGATGAACCTGCAGGAGTTTCTGCTGAAAATGTTTCCTCAGGGTTCATCCTTTTCTTTGAAATCTCTGCTGGAGAGTTGATAATACAAGGTTGACTTAAAAATAATAGTGATATAATTTATTTTGCATTTAAAAATTGCATTGAAAGATAGACTGTCAGAAATAAAGAGAATCTCCCACATGCTGGTTGCCACAGCTGGTGCTGGACCAGGCTGAAGCCAGGAGCCAGGACGACTCCTGTGTCTCCCGCGTGGGTGGCAGGGATCCAAGCACTTAGACCCTCATCTGTTACTTTTTCAGGCACATTAGCAAGAACCGAGTTGGAGGTAAAACAGCTGGGACTTTAGCACACTGACATGGGTTGTAGGCACTGTGACCGTAGGCTTAAACTGCAGTGTCTCAGTGTCTGCTTCCAGCTTACCTATTGTAAATAATTTGTATTTTTATATTTTAAGCTGTTATTTCAAAATCACTCTGGTAATGCTTGTAGTTTACAAACTTTGTGAGGAAAGTCTGAGTGCATGTACCTACTTTTAAGCCAATTCTAAAAATCTTCCACATTTCCAATGTCAATGCTATTGACTGATAGCAAACTTTATGAAATGAGCTAATAAAACTCATTTGGAATGCCAAGTCTGTTTCATGAAGATTAAATGAGCAGGTAAGTGTGTAATGAGAAAAATGTGAGGTCATAGCTACTGTTGAGTTAAAACTGAATGAGCCAATGTTTAGATTTGTTTGCCTTTGCTCTGTCCATGGGCAGTGCTTGCCTTCCTCTTAGATTTTGATCCAGGCCCAGAAGGTCAAGGCCAGCTATCGGGGAGAGATAAGACAGACTGAAGAGAATAAAGCAGATTCCAGAAAGGTGCTTCCTCAAGGACTGCGCAGGTTTTGTGATGGAATTAGAACTGCTACATCTTTGTGATAATCTGAGTACAAATGTTACATTTGGCGACTTTTGGGTATTGGTAGTATACTTGGTTCATTATTTTCTTGCAGGAAAATGTTTGGTGGGGATTACATTAATTTAAAAATAACCTTGTCCCCGGCATTTATCTTTCTCTGATCACTTATTACTGCAGTGTGTTAAACTGGAAATCTGGGGTGTGGTCATTGCTAGGATAAAGGTCTGTAAAAAGTTAAAAATACAACTCAGCCAATAACTTGTAAGGGAAAACTTGTTTATTGCTTCTGCCCTTTGCCCTTCATCTCTTCAGATGAAGCTGGGAAAACACCTCCGTCCGGGATGCGGCAAGGCCTCTCACCAAGAGCACACCTAAGACCTGAGAAGGAAAGGCCTTTTCAAAAAACCTGGGACAAACATTCCTATGAGTATGTCCGAAAATGTTCTTTTAATTCTTGAAAGTTATGTCTTTAAGCACCTCCCCCATTGAGTGAAAAGTTTTGCTAACTGACGGATGGTATTGGAGACATCAGACACAAGCAGGAGTGTTTGCTGGGAACGTGGGACGAGGAGGAAGGAGTGGCGAGAAGACATCTTGAGTTTTATTTATTTTAAGGGAATAAAAAGAATTGGGTCCCTTTATAATTTAAAATACTGTTAGAGACTGTGAACTCCCTAAGCCTCGCAGAGTGAGCAGGGCTGATCTGGGCCAGGAACCTGAGCCTCAGTTCTCGTGTGGACAGCAAGCGTGCGGCTGTTGGGCCCTCCCCGCCGCCTCCCAGGGCCTGCACGGTCCGAGCAGGAAACAGAGGCAGGCGTTCTGCCTAAGATGCCGGCGCAGGACTCGGGCAGCTTGGCTGCCAGGCTGAACACCTGCTCCCACCTTGCCTCTGCTTCCTCTCTGCCAGCGAATGGCTGGACAGGTACAGATAATGGAGGAGGCAGAAATGCTCTCCCAAGCCTCTAATGCAACTTGAAGTTCTTGGGCTGGCGCTCAGACGCTGCCCCTAGTCCTTACCTAACATACACTATCAGCAGGTCTTCCTTCACACAGAAAGGTGAACGCATCGCTCTTCTCCCATGTGAACGCTTAAAGTTTACGTCTAAACTTGAAATAGCGATCTGGGGAGAGGGAGAAATGAGGAGGGGGCATGGCCTCGGATAATGGGTCCCCAAACACAAAATTGGTTCACTTTTGTTTCCATTTAAATATACTTTGGAATGTGGCAGAACTATGGTAAGTAAACTCAAAACTGTCTCTGCGATGCAGGACCTCTGTACCTTTTTCACTCGTGCCATGTATTACAGGAATATTAGAACTGACTGAGGTGGGCCCTGCGCCACCCGTGGTACAGACCACTGCGGGGACACGGGTGCTGCATCTGCAGGTGCCCATCTGTACACACCTGCCACACACTGTTGGGCATGCCACTTGTACCATGGTGTCCCACGAGTACCGCCCTCCTTTGGGAAATTACACCACATGTTCCCCAGAGAAGCCTACCTAGATCCTAAGCTAGCTTGTTTATTAGGAAATTACCTCATCTGTGTTAACAGCAGAACTTAAGTGAATGTTTCTTCTGGATCAGCATTTCTCAGTGGGGCGGGGGCAGCTGCGAGTAGCCAGGGACAGGAAAAGGCGTGTCCTCCAGCCAGCTCTTGGGAACTTCAGGAGACTCCCCCAAGAGCCTCCCCACGGGGAGAGGAGCCTCCAGGTGCTGCACTGAGAACGCTCACAATGCTAAGGTAACTCATGGGAGGGCCACCTCGCGGCCCGAATTCCCAGTGCGTGGCCACCAAGGCCCAGCCAAAAGCGAGGGAGTTACTTGTGTCACTCATGCAAAAGGTCATGTGATCAGAGTGGAACTGGAAAGCAGACAAGTGGCCAAACACCGGCTGCTTCCTGAAGTCAGGAGCTTGCCTCAAAGTGGCTGCAATGATGTGATGGGAACCATGTTTCCTGCGCTCACCCAAGTAGATCCCTGGCCCTGCTCCTGTGCAGTGTGAGCAAGCGCTGTAGCGTGCAGAGCGGATGCTGCCCTGTTCATGCATTGCAAATAAAAGCAGTAGTGTTAACCTTTTCATCTGGCAGTGAACCAGAGGGGCCCGAGTCCATCTTGTTGTTACTGGAGGCACACTGAAGCTTTGCCACCCAGGCGAGCTTCCAGCCCTCTCAGCTTTGCTCTCCTTTGGGGCCAGAGAAGGGCCGGCCAGTCATCTGCAGCTCTGAGACCTGAGCAGGCACACACCTGTGCTACCAGTTACCTGTACCAGGTGCTACACAGTCATGCTGTGCCTCACAGTGGAGGAAGAGATGCCCGGAATAAGTACACCATTCATAAATAGTTCATAACTGCGGCGAAACACTGTGCAGAGATGAACTGAGGAAAAGGCGCCCGTTGCGGTGGCTTGAGAGGGAGACGGTGGAGGGTCTTAGAAGGGGAGATCTGAGGGCTCCTGCCTGAGGTGCCATGTGAACTCAACTGCTTGGGGACACTAGGTTGGCAGGCCAGACCCAGAGAAGTTTAATACCTCCCTGGGTGAGATGAGAAGTGAGAGATTGTTGAACACAAGGCTAATTCTATCAGAATTCTTAAGGGAACGTCCAACGATAGGTTTTCTGCATTGCCCCTGCAGTGTTGAGCATAGCTCTTTGTTGCAGCTTGTGTAACAGGTGGATACTCCAGACTCCGCCTCTGCATGTGCAGTTGTTGGTATGCGTTTGTGTTTAAGGAGCTTACAGGAAGTGCCTCGGCAGGTCACAAGATGCACTTTCACAGTGACACCACTGTGCGGGCTCGTCTCTTGTCTCTTAGTCATGCCTGCTTTCTTCGCCTTACATAAGGAGTGATACGGTAAGTGTTTTAAAATTACTTACAGAACAAACAGTGTTTGTGATGAGTGTGAGCCAACAGGCTCAGCTTGGCAGTGAGAATGCTCCGTCATCTGGCCACACCAGGCTTGGACACGTTATTTAGTCAAGAAAGCAGGTGTCTTTCTTTGGTAAGCCCAAAGAAAAATAACTGATTGGATAAGAAGGAAGGAGTATTAAGTCTTGTTTAATGTTGATTGTTCAACTAGTAAGTAAAAGTAACTAAAAGCTAGGTAGTAACTAGGCTGGCAGGAGCATTGCAGGGCAGCCACGGAGTCGTCGGCCGCATGTCATGGAAGCAGGCAGGATGCAGAGGGTCCTTTGCAAGATTTTAATAATACTGAAAAATGGACAACTCGGTATTACACAGTATGTTACAGTGATACCATTAGATATGTGGATTAAACACTTCTCTTTCAGTAAAATAGTTCATGCTTAAAAAAAGTCACCCTAGGTCAACTCGGGAGAGAACAACGTACAGTAGAAATAAATCGAGTAGTAAACAAGGTGGAGGTAAGGAAGAAATATAAAGCTTTTACATTGTTGACACAAAAGAAAAATAAATAAATACACTTTTGTTATTTGAAGGCAGTTGACAATCATTTCCGGGAATCTGTGAGAGTTTAAGGCCATTTGTTCTAGAGAAATACTTTAATTTAGACACAATTTCACAAAACTGTAATTGTTGTAAAAACTGTACATGCAAAAACTCTTACGATTACTGTGGACAGGCAGGTAGTAGAGAGGAGCAGAGTACTTGGCAAGCGTGTTGTGCACTAAGTCACAGGGTGTTAGTAATTAACTGGGGAGTTCACAGAAGACTTCCAGTCTGTGCACCCACATGGCAACGTGGAATGGTGACAACAGGTAATCCCAATCAAAGAGCCAGTATCCCTTTGAATTAAAATATCTAGACAAGATATAATGGAATAAAAAGTGTAAAACATCTGCTACATGGTTCACAGTTAAATATTCTTCATTTGAGTTTTTCCTAAATAGCGTTAGAATATAAGGTTGCTACTTTTAGTACAGAGCAGATTCTGTGCACTCCCAGTTCCTACTTCGTTACATTTACTGACGGCAGTCTAAATTTAGAACCCAAACCCCATGAAAAATGCACGTTCTTCCAGACTACACATGTGCCATGCTTCCGCCTCCGTCCTGCGCAGGCGCGGTGGAGGAGTGGGCACTGCGCAGCTGCAGCCTGTGGACAGGTCAGGGTGCCGGGGGCAGCATCCCCTCCCCCGCTGCCCCGACAGTCGCTCGAGGAGATATTGCTCTTGGGATGGTGGATAGCTATTGCAATTTTGAAGACAAAGTATTTGAAATTCAAAATGCTTATTAAGAACAGTTACAAAAGTGTTGAAATTTAAAAAGTAGTAACATGTAAACATCGATACAGGGACCGCTTCCCTCGACACGGAGCAGTCGGAGCAGTCGAGGACAATGTTGGAGTTAAAAACAGTTGTGCTTTTTCCCAACATCCATTGGAAATGAGCTGTTTCTGGCAAAAACGAAAGTAAAGATTCAGAAAAGACATCCGTACACTGCTTCAAGCATTTGAGTAAGATTTCTGTTGCACATGCAACAACCCTATTTACAGTTTTGGTTTAGGAAGAGAATGAAGTTTGGATCCAAGAAAGGACGTGAACTAGCACTGCTGGAGCAGACGGAGGAGCGTGTCTCCCGTTCCCTGGGTCGTGACAGAGCACCAGGAGCGGAGCGTGACCTTGGCAGTCCTCACCGAGGGGACGGGCGGCAGCCGGGCCTGGGAGCAGTCAGATCTGCGTCTGCAGCACGTGGGTGGGCGGGCTGTAGGGCGGCGGCGCAGGGGATGGCTTGATCCCTCGGGCCCTCATGTAGGACAGGAACTGCTCGGGGATCTCGGCCAGGACGTCCTTGGCCAGCCTGGCCATGCTCAGGATGTGGTTTCCACTTCGGTCCATGTAATCCCTGAACGGCACGAACTGCAAGAGGAAGAGTTGCGGATGTCAGCACAGGGAAATGTGTGTGTAGAACTGCGTTCTCAAAGTATTTCAAACTTTCTAGACTGTTAGACAATGGCCACACTTTACAATGCCTGTTTCCTCTGACAGGGACTGGAATGCTCCGTGTTTCTCTCACACTGCGGGCTGCTCCTGGGCCTCCCGTGGTCGCTAAGCAGGCACTGCCGTGGGCTGCTGTCTTCAGCCCAGGGTTACAACGGGAGGGTGCATCCAGAAGTCACTCCTGTGCTGAGTTTCTTCTTCAGTGGAATCAATACAGCCCTAGTTGAATTTCTGATGCCAAGCTATCAGCTAACCAGGGTAAGCAACCAGTAGTGCCCAGTGGGTACGAGTGTGGGAAACAGCATGCACTTTGTTGAACGGTTCAAATAACAATTCTAAATGTCAGATGCCATGGGAGATGAATAAACTTTAGGTTCTTGCTAGCAGAACTTCAGGTACCTGGAATGCCGAGTCTTTCCAGATCTCGGCATGCCACCTGCACTTTCCGCCAAGACCCCGCTCTTGCTTTTGTGTCATGCTTACTATAATTTTATAGGAGGAATTCCTTAGAACCTTTGTCAGTTCAGCACCAAGTATTCCAGTGAGAGAGATGGCCCTATTCCACTCTCATCGTAATGGTACTCAGTGGATGTACCCTGTGCTGTCAGGATGGGAGCTCGGCCTCCCCAAAGGGGAATGATGGTTCTTGACTCAACTTTTGCAAGTGTGAGTTTCAGAATGCAGAGCAAAGACAAAGGCAGAGACATTTTAGGAACAACCTCTGGGTGCAGTATTCCACAGTTGGCATAAAGGCTTGCTTTTCCACCAGGAAGAGAAAGAATGCTCACAACGTAGTGTACATGTGTTAGATTTATTTTTGGAATGCCAGCTTTTGATTTAAATAGTTACTTCAATCTGCGCTTTGAGGAAACAGCTGTTATGACGTTACTACAGGTAATACAACAAGTTCATATTTTGGGAAAATGAACAGCAGGTGTAGTATGCCTTTATGCAGGGAAGGTGGGCTTCCCTAAAGGAACAGCAGGAAATTGCTCCTTCCTCTTCCAGTTACGACACAGGCTTTGAACTGTGGACATGTGGCTCCCTGTAATTGTACCTTCTCAGCCTTGCTCCCAATAGAAAAACCCAGATCAGCTTTTAGAAGCGTGTGACAAGAGGGAGATCTGACCGTCTCCAGGGATGAGAATGCCACGAGGGTAAGAAAAACTAACAGCAGACAGTCTCGATCTGAGAGGAGCGCAAGGGAGTCACAGATCCATGACGTTACACTCTCGAGGGGAGCGGGACTTCCGCAGCTCATCTGTTGTCTTAACCTCAACTATGCTTATTATTTCTTTTACATTCTATCATGTGTAAACGTAACTTTTGATCACTGAATCTCGAATTCTGCTAGAATTGTCTAGCTCAATGCCTGGGTCAGTAATTCTGTACTTGGAAAAAAACCTCCCCAAGAGCTGTGTCATTTCTTTGCCTTTGTTTCCTGTCTGTACAATGAGAACATTTGTGGCATCTACTTCCTTATGCTGTTGTAAAGTTAACATATGTAGTAGTTATCTTTGTTCAATTCATATAAGTTTTAATTTTTATACTTACTATCCATAACTTCACATATTTGTAGCCAATATAAATATGAAAATCAATATTTATTTGCATTCCTATCAAGCAATAGGAATATTTTTTTAGCAGTTTGCTCTTTCAAATTTAAGTGCAGTTTAGTTGCTCATGGAGGCTCTTATTTTCAAACACTGCTGGTTCACTTTTTCAAACAAATATTGTAGGATGTGCTGATTGGTTTAACTGAAGTTAATTAGAGCCCAATTTTAGGAATTTTATGATAGTCTCTAATGCTCAAAGTAAAAACTCGGGAGACTTACAGTTCTGCTCATGTTTTAAAGCATGCAAAAAGATTATGGTTAACAAAGAAACCCTGGCTTTCGGATCCCGGGAGCATGCGCTGTAGGTCACATGGGCTTGTTAGATGGTCGTCTGAGTCTGACGTCACTTGCTGCTGAGGCCAAGTTTGGAGTACAAAAGGTGAGAAATTTCTACTCCATCTATGAACTTCAACTCTTTCCCAAAGGAACACTGGTTGCCTCTGATGTCATAAGCGAGAAATGACAATGGCCTTGCTTCCCTGACCTGTGAGTGTCGACTTCCACGCCAACACACCCTCACTCTTGGCGGAAGGTTAAGTGTATCCTCTGTGGTTTCCCACTCAGCTTCATTGACAACCCTGCTTGCTGTCTGTGTTAACACTCAATTTCTGGTCACTGTAACTGAGGCTCTCATTCAAAATGAAGGCAAATGCTTGTGCATTTAACTGTGGCCATTAGTCAATTTCCACTTTGCACTAAATCATCACATTCACACGAAAAGCATGAGTAAATGCGTTCTTTTCTGTGAAACTATGGAATCCTGGATACGCTAAGACAATGGTACACATGGCTGCTCTAATGGTCTGTTGTGAACCAAGTTTCAGCCACTCGGGGCAAACGGGCTTTTGGTCGCTGATCTGCTCAGTTTTGCTTGATTGCTCCTACTGTGCTGAGCTCCATTAGCAGGTCTCAAGACCATGGGTTCAATGCTATTATTCTGTTAATAGAAAATGATTTAAATATGAATTGATAGGCTGCCACAAGCAGTAGTACAGCATTTTGCACAGTGGCCAATCCATAGAATAAACAAACAAGCAGCCTTTACATGTTAAAGAACTGCAGATTTAGCATCATAGCCACAGGCACGCATCCTGTTTATTGTTTATGCTGTAGTCCTAGGAGACTCCATCTTGGGGTGATACAACAGCTTGACACCTATGGCTGAGGACAGCGTCCTGTGAAGGGGACAGCTGCTGTGAAAATTCCACGAGTTCCCCGTGCAGCCACACCAATACAGCAGAGCTAAATGCATCCTAAACAACTGGAGAAGCGCAGGTGAGGTCTGCTAGGTGTTCATAATATCTAGTTTTACAAGTGTACTACCTGACTTCTATTGGATGCTGGTCTAGCTAGAATCATGGCAATCATATTAAAGAATAGGAATAGTTTTTATTAACTTCATTAGAATTTTGCCTTTCAGGAAAGTGAGGTGTATTCTAACAGGATACACTTTGGAATCAAAACTTTTGGACATATAAATTGGTTAACTGCCCACCCTAAGGTGCACACATCCTTAGGGTGCCGGCCTCTCCCCACATGTGGTCAGAATGTCTGATTAGACTAATTATTGCTATGCTGACAGGTAGCCTGCTGGTAACTCAGGCTCCAGATTATCATTTCTTTATGTGAACTGGGTGTCTCAAACTGTTGAATGCAGTGGATCCACTGACAGGTATGACAGCCGGCACTTTATAGGAAACCTTAACTCCTCTGAGTTGTCTTGCCCCTTCCTTAGCTTAGGAGAAAGTGTTACCAAGTACATTGTAAGCATCATTTAAACAAAACCTTGAGAAACTGGCCCTTTCTGCTCTAACCTTTCAGCACAGCACAGCACCAGCACCAGCATTCTTTGTACTGACCCTGAGCTGTGAGCACGTGGCAGGTTGGACCTGGGAGTAAGCTGACAGGGCCAGGAGCCTTTCAAATGACACGCACTCCACCCAGCCCTGCAGCCAGCAGCACAGTCCTACCAGGCCCATCGTGTATGCTTTGTATTCTGCTAAGTGCATAGGTTTGGAAGTTTAAATCATACTGGGTTGTCTTAAGAACATCCCTGTATGTTTTAAAATTCCATTTTGCTGATTTGTATTTTTATCTTTATGAACAGTCTCGTATTGCTAGAACATACATTCCTGGAATGCAGAGAGCTGTCCCAGTTACCACAGCAGACAAGTCAGGGTTTGAAGAATGCTGTGTCATCTCAGGATGTATTCGTGTGTGAAACATGAATACAGCTCATTGTTTGGCAGACAGTATTGGAGTCTATTTCCTCAAACTTTTCAGAACTTCTTTTCCTGTTTCAAAGGTATGCTTTACAAACCGTTTTCCTTTTCACATCCCTGAGACTTTCATTCAGTTCAAGCGAGTTTGATGCTGAAGAGTATGAATCCTTTTTTTCTGTTCACTGCCATAACAGAATTTAGTCCAGTCTGTCTCTCAGTTCTAACCTCCCTCTGCTTTCCTGTCCAACCAGAATCTATGCAGTGACTGTAAAAGGTCTACACTGTGATGCCTTTTTTAAAAACTCAGGATAAATGAGACTTGATTAAGTCCATGGAAAAACAAAACTAAAAGATGTTTGTTTTGATGCAGCACCCCCTGGAAGTCCATGCACAGCGAGTCCTGCTGTGTCAGCTTCAAGACCGAACAATAAACAGATGCGGGAACCTGAAAAGCCGTGCATCTCTAGCTTCCAGTCACGACAAGTCTGTTATTTTGCGGTAATGGTGATTGCCACAAATCTGTTTGTACATGGTGAATCCAAAATGCAGGAATAAGCCAGAGGCTCATTCAAGGCCCTGGGACATCAGGTGCATATAACAAGCAGAAAAGATAAAAAAATTTATCTTCTTACCTGTACAATGTCCCTTTCAGCATATTTTCCTCTGGAAGAGACTCTGACATCATCTCCATCCAGTTCGACCATGGCTTGAAAAGAAATTCAAGATCGTTAGTCTAGACCATCTTAGCCAAGAACTGAGAAACTGGGGGATATAAGGAGGCAAAACGCCTGCGGAACCATCACCTCTGGTTTCTTCCGCAGAGCTCGGGGCACAGTTCCCCACTGGAGGCCAGAGCAGAGCCTGAATGTCCTGTGGGACAGCCTGGGGCCTGTGGTCTATCCTGCAGACTCCAACCTCAGCTTCCGCGACCCACTGGGTAAGTGACAGTAACCCACTCAGTACATTTAAGTCTGTGTCTCACAGAAGAAACGCCACACCAGTTGATGTAGAATTCTCAGGAATAATTTGAACCTGATTCCCAAATAAAACTACTACAAAGCTGTATATTCCCCTAGCTCAGATTTTTAAAAAACAGATTCCAAAACAGCAATGATCTGGGCCCTGACATGAGGTGGACAGAGTGAGTCTGCCCTCGGTGTCGGCTTGCTGGGTGCTGCGTGGCCCAGCTGCAGGGGCAGACGGGCTGCACTGCCATGAAAACTGCTTCAGAGGCTGTTGCGTTTTCAGCAAGAACCCTCAATACTGAATGAGGCATGCTAATGTGTTCTTCAGGATAATACTATTCCTGGTCCGTCCTGTGGCCACTTGCCATGACCCTGTCAGCCTCTTCACTCCTGGAGAAGGAAACGCCACCCGATGCCAGTGCAGCCCGTCTGCTCACGACTCTCCCCCAGTGCACTTGGGCTAACCCTGCTGTGTGAGCTCCAGCGTGCGTGGCTGCCGTAACTGAACAGGGCATCCCTCGGTGACCCCAGTGGCTACAGCAGACGTCATCATTAACTAAGGTCTGCACTGCCAGGAACAAGTAAACTTCTCTGCTGCTTGGGACTGTAAGCAGCAGAATCCATTCTGCTCAAACCTTTCAACATTAGTTTTCACATGTTTTCCTCTTAGAAGCAGAACTGGCATGTCATCTTCAAACTAACAATGCAGTTACTCCACACCTACTGTAAAATGGGAAACAAGAGTTAGAATGTCACTCAGTCTACCTTCAGTAACTTTGCATAGTCTCCTTTGGTCTGTGTCAGTTTTAGCCTGCTGAATTAAGGAAGACAGCTGTCCAGGAACTCCTACATGAAGCATCTTGTATCTCTCCCTGTTCCACAGTGCTTTGGGGCTCAGTGCAAGAACTGCACGGGATGCGACATCTGCTCCGATCGCCTGAGCACCTGCTCTTCACAGAGACAGACTGCATGCCTGCGGCCCTCCACACGCTCCCGGGAGCAAAGCAGGTGAGAGGGCTGCGCTTCCCAAGCCGTGGCCCAAAGTCTTTATCCTGAAGTGAAAGGGGCCTGAGGTCACTTATGTTGGACTGTTCTTTAAGCACAAAGAAATCCTTCTCCCAGAAATCTTTCTTTTTAAAAAAGGTGCTTTATATAAAGGGGGAAAAGTCACTTGTGAAAATTATGTATATCTTCTAAGTTTTCTTATCCAAATACATGAGGGCTCATTAATAGCTGAACCTTATTTCCTCTCCTTTCAAGGAACAAATGGAAAAATACTGTGCGCAGGAGGAAACACACACTGCCTCTCCAGCTGCAGAGGAGTCGGCGCTGGCTTGGTGTGGCACCTGATGCAGGCTGCGCCTTTCCAGTTAACAGGCAGAGGTGCAAGTACTGAGAAAGGTGCTTCCAGCAGGACAGCAGAAGTTGCACTGTAAGTTGACTAACGACCTGAGAAACAGGGACTACTCTATCCTTTTACTGTTAGCTGTGGAGAGCAGAGGTTGATTTTGGAAGAGAAAAAAAGCAAAGGCCCCTAAGAGGCAGTTCCTCATCTCCTGGCAGAATGGTCAGCCACCATGGCGCTGCGCCAGCAAGCCCTTACCTTGTGCTCTAACTGCTGGCGGGGGGAGGTGGCGCCCACGCGTGCAGGAGCCTCGCGGCCATCTGCACAGGCAGCCTGACTCCCCGGCCAGGAGGAGCTGCAGCATGGGCAGCAGCCTGCTCTGTTCTGGGCAGCGGATCCCTAAGAGAAGGGACTGAGCTTGAAGGACTGTCTAGTTGGAACCTCAGGGGAAGGCTCAATAGGCCCAGCCCTGCAGAGGCTGGCAGGGAAGATTAAAGCCGCCTCAAGTTCTCTCTGCAGAGTCAAGCAAATCCTGAAAATCCACACTGCAATTAATGTGCAAGTGAGAAGATCCCTGCTTTGTTAACTCGGGAGCAGAGAGGCTGTGATGTCGCTCACGTGGGATGCACACACCCACGCTCTGCTCGTGGGGAGACAGGTGGGTCCACTGTATTCTAGGAATGCTCATCTGTGTGCTTTGCCAAAGGTGGTCCAGAGTCCCAGGCTGGAGAAGCTGGCTGTGCAGTGAAGCCACCCTGACTCAAGCCACGTTCTCGCAGGAACCCTGGGCGACAGTCCTCCATGAAGTCCACCCAGATTACTAGTTGTGTAAACACTTGCATGTGGCTCAGCAGACACTGGAACAAGGCCTGAGCCCAGGGAGACGAGACGACCGACCACGTGGCCGATCAGACGCCTTCTCACAGGTCAGTTCCATTTCAGTTCACTGTTCGCCATTTACAAGGCGAACCTCTCTGGACTAGCCAGGTTTTGTAACCCCTGAAATCCCTGTATCATGCCTGTGCTGTGGTTTCACTACCTTACAACGGGTGAATCTAGCAGTCATCCTGGGAGGTTTCAGGGCAGCCCGAATACGTCTCATATTTCAGTTTAAGACTGACCGAATGGTAAACTGCCTCCAGTGAACTAGACAGGGAGGAGAAAGAACACGGCGCTCAGAATCCTTTCATTTTCTCACCTGGTTCCAGGTAGGACGCTCTGCTCTGATCCTGCTTTCTGCAGATAACGCACGTGGTGGCCCGAGTGCTGGGGAGCCTGCCGCCCACGAGGGACTTGAGGCTTTGCTCTAGTCAAGCCCCAGAAATTATGACCACTTAGATCTAAGATCTTTCTCTATCCTTTCCAAATACACCTTTTTTAAAAATTATGTCATATAATACATTTATTTTGGGATGAACTTGTGAAATCCGCAATATGGCAGATTTTCAAGAAGTTCATGGCAAATTAGTACTATGAAAAAAATTATGCATAAATTTAAAGTTTCTGCACCTAAATAAACATTTAGTTCAGTCTGCAGCCTGTGTTTATGTAAACACGGTCACTGCACACACTCACGTCGTCCTCCCTCACAAAAGGCTAAGAAAAATCCTGTCGGATAAAATGAAACTCTAAGGAATACAATTGGAATTCCAGTACTCACCATCAAATTCTGCCGGTCCGACACCCACTATGATTATGGACATGGGCAGCTTCGAGGCCTTTAAAGAAATCACAGGAGGTTAAGAGTCCTTAAGACAAAATACCGAGTCTCATCTAATTGTTCACTAATATTCAAACACAGCTAATGTCCTAGACAGCGCCCCTCTCCTTTCCTAACCACACCTGCCCATCCCGTGCCGCATCTGGCTTATTTTCTACCCTTGTTCTCTTCCCAGACATCGTTGAGCTGCTCTGCGGAGGAAGAGCACCGGATTCGGGAACAGCAGTGCCAGAGAAGCCGATGTTCACAGCACACGAGCAATGTCAACCATCTTTACAAAAACGTCTTAGTAATATAAATATGAAACTTTGTGGAACAATAAAGCATGTGATGTCACAACATTTTTCTTCTAGCATGTATCTTGAATTTTACCATTTTTGAATAAACTACTTGCTGATGAGCGTGAGAGCCAGCAGGAGAGTGGAACGCTGCAGCTAAGCACATCGACAAATGAGTCACTGTCCCCAGGCCACACGGGAAGCGTGCGCACTGCCGTCACGGGCCACTCGTGTGCAGGAAATCCACCCCATGTAAACCTTTCCCTTCCTGCCTTTTAGGTTTGTTTTTTCTAAGAATATCTACAGCACATCTGATTTTTCCAAACATCTTAAGCTATTGGATGTGAGGAGAAAAGTTCTATTACATTTCTCTTTGCTATTAATAATTGATGTAACTCATCAACATCTACATCAAACGTGTACTTCATGCCCGATAGTGTAAGCCTCCACATAGGGAAGCGAGTGGATCACCGTCCTGTGAGACAGTCCAATCATCTTAGAATCCCAAACCACAAGTCAGAATTAAAATGCACAGGGAATGAGTCAGCACAGTTCTGTAGCCACAATGTAAATGTTAAAAACTAAACCCTCTTACTAAAACTGTATCCAAACTGATGTGCTGAAGGGCAATGACACTACAGCTTCCAGTTAACTGCACATTTCAGCCTGGGCCTCAGTGTTAGCGTGCAGGAGTTGTCCGGGTGGGGGTGCTGTCTGCAGCAAAGGAGCATCTTTCACTGCCACACAAGCACACTGGATCCCGGGCCCCTCGCTGCCACCCTGACCGCCACTCACGTTCACGATGGACTCCTTGGTTTGAGCCATGTCGGAAATAACACCGTCTGTCACGATCAGGAGCACAAAGTACTGGGAGCCGTCCTTGACGGAAGAAGCGTACCTGGACGGGAACGGTAAGGAGCAGGAAGTGAGTCAGCTCCTCTACACGAGGGTTGCCACAGAACATGGAATAGTTGGAGAATTCTCAACTTCAAGAAAACATGTCAGCATTAGAAGCCTGCACTGTGCAGACCTCAGGCGCTCAGCTTCTGAAGCAGAGCACGAGAGTAACCACAACCTCCCTGCCTGCCGGCCGCGGTCACCTGTCATCAAGTCACCTACTGCTGAAGGTGAGAAAAAGGGGATCTGATTAGCACAAAGGGAGGGACTCAGTCTTCTTCATCCTAGCTACGTGGCAGATGTTCTGTGAGCTGCCTGTACAGGCACTGGGTATCCACTCCCCTGGCAGGCTACCCAGGAGACCCAGCACTGCCACCTGCAGGTGCCCTCCTGCATGCTCACGAGCTGGGGGCCAACGACTCCACCCCGCGCAGACACAGTGGACAGGGAGCCCTCACCTGCCTCTCCTCCTGGATCCCAGAAAGCTTGAGTGAGAGCCGAGAGCCCGGTTTTGAACCCGGGGACTTTGGTAAGAGGTAGGCATCCTCACCAGTGTCTTGGTTACTTGGCTAAACATCCACCCCTGAATTTAACTCTTCTGCCTTTAAAAATGAGATAGTTTATGGAACAATTTAGAGGTAAAAGTAACAAGTAAATTACATGCACTACTACTTATATACTCTATTAGTATATTTAAGTGTTAATAATCATTTTATGTAGAACTATGTATAGGTGATAATTTATTAATGAAATTGTATGCCTTACAATCAATTTCAGCTTATGGAAATTTCACCTCAGTTACAAAGCCAAATGGGGCCAACGATGTGGCATAGAGAGTTAAGCCACTCTCTGCCATGCTGCCATCCCACATAAGTGCTGCTTCACATTTCCACTTCCCTTCTGTCCAGCTGCTGGCTAACGCCCCCGAGGGAAGCAGAAATGGCAGTCCAGCTCCCTGTGCCCTGCCTGGCCGCTGCCATCATTCCTCCTCCTGCTACTGGTTAATGAAGTCTAAACACAGTGCTGCAGATACGAGGTAAACCTTACACCCGAAGGTCCTGGAGTTCTCTAATTTTAACTCTCCAGGTACCTCTGAGGCTTTTTGTTTGCTTGTTTGTCTTTTCAGTAGGCACCACAGTTGGTCTTTGTCACCTGGGCCAGGCAGGGGTCCGGCACTGAGCAGAGCAGTTAAGGCACAAGTCAGGACACCTGCATCCTGCCTCTGCAGCATCCACATTCGGGACCCGCGCAGCCCCTAACCATGCAGACCCTGGTGACTCAGGAAGTTGGACTCCAACCATCCACATCGCAGTCCTAGACAGAGTTCCCAGTTCTGAGCTCGGGCCTGGTGAAGCCAGGCATCTGGGCAAAGAACTGGTGGATGTGTGCCATTTTGCTCTGCTTCTCAGAGCTTAGGCATAAAAAGCCAGTTATTTACTCACACACTCCAGGTCCTGCCGTGTCTCCTGCCGGCTTGCTCGCGCTCTCTGGAGAGCTCCAGCAGAGCAGGCGTCAATTGCAGAAACATTTTCATAGCCCATTAAGACCGACTTTTCCTTAAAAGTTTCCTTCATTTCCTATTATAATCCCACTCATTAAAACCAACCCAGCAAATAAAGTATCAATTTCTCTGTAAATGCAAAGTACTGTGAGAGATCTATAATATAAACACATAAATATATGCACATATAAACACCAGCTGAATGACGGATTTTCCTTTCAAGGTGGAGAAGCACACATGAACAATGGAGTATGCTTCAATTACTAAGTGCTCTAGCATGCACACGGAACCAGCTGATGCTCAGGCACAACAATGAGCCTCCGTATTGTGATGCATCTGGGAGGAAGCAAAAGGGAATGAGTTTGCCCAGGTGAGCGGCAGGCAGCTACTGGGAGTTCTGGACTACATGCTGAACGCTTTGCACTTCAACCCATGACATAGCATGAGCCGTAGCTTTACACTGTTTGAGCTGCTGTTTCCCCAGACGGTTTTAGAAAACCAGGACAGAAATGGAATGAGATGAGAGGCAGGCATAGGAAAGCCTCTGAATACAGACGAGCCTCAGAAACCTTCCAAGTCTGATGCCCCCAGTCTCACCTATATCAATGCTTTGTCACAGTAAGATTATCTCAGAAGTCGGTCCTTTTAATACAGAGATCAACCTTAAAACTGAGCTTATACTCAGTACCTGAAAGCAATAAACCACCTTCAAAATGCTACACTCTTATCAAGGGTGAAATAAAGGAATTTAAAAACCAAGCTGTGTATTTGCTTTGACTCTCTTAAAACTAATGCTCGTGGCCTGGGAAAGCAGTCAAGGACGGCCCAAGGCCTTGGGACCCTGCCCCCGTGTGGGAGACCCGGAAGAGGCCCCAGGCTCCACCTCAGCTCCAGTTGATGTGGCTGAGGAGTGAACCAGCAGATGGAAGATCTTTCTCTCTGTAAATCTGACTTTCCAATAAAAAAAGATATTAAAAATGTTCAATAACAGGATTAATTTTTAAACATTGATTCAGTGCTCAAGTGCTCACTTCGGGTGGCTCTGTTATTAAAATCAACAGAATGTACAAGTAACCTTACCTTAGTTGAGGTTCCACATGCGGCAACTGTATCTTCCTTGCTGCATAAACACTACCTTGTCCTTGAGTGGACAGCATTTTTGGTTCAAGATAAACTATTTACTAACATCAGAGACCAAGTGGGACAGGCGTCTGGACCCAGGAAGCGACAGTGGCACTAGTCCCTGGGGCCCGGAGGGCTGCCCGCCCGGGCCTCCTGCGGCACTGCCAGGCCGAGCTGGCTCACAGCAGCCTTGGTATTTTTTTTCTTTTTTAACGGGAAGAATAGTGATTTATTACATTATGGCTTATTTCAAAAGGTCTAAAATTTAGCCAGCTGCTTCCCCTATATCTGAAAAGGTAATGAACTCATAGATACAACATAAAAACCACAAAAAACAAAATTATGCCACCCTGTAGTTTTACGTGATATACTGAATTGCACTTAAACATTTTTATCAGGAATTTTAAGTTTCACAACATAATGATAGTACGAGGGGAAACCGAGGGGAACATAACTAGCATGAGTTCAACTGATATCCTATTTCCTTTTTCATTTTATTTTAAAAACTGTTCTGTGTCCTTTATCTTGCGTTAGCGTGTTTGATTCTGCTTTGAAAGCCCTCCGCAAACCCAGGCCACAGTCCTGCAGAGGCACCTGGATGCTGACGGCACGAGTTACGCTTCCAGTCACCCATTAGAGAACGGTGGAAACAATTTTGTGGGCCAGGAATTATATTAAAAAAATCACAAAAATAAACAGGATACCCCGTGAAAATGACGTAAGAATATTATTTCTTAGTAATCTTTCCCTTTCCTTTGTTTGTTTTTTCATTGCACGTGCACAGGGTTGAGATGTAAAGTTCTATCTTGGTACACACTGCAGACAAGAATGCCGGCAAGCGGAGGGAGAGCGGCACGCCCGAGCTGGCCCTCAGTATGTCTGTCAGCAGGTGCAGCTTCCCAGCCAGTCCCGCTGGGGTCAGCCCTGGGTGCAGGAGCTCAACACTCTGCATGTCCCAGATAACACAAAGTGGAACACGCTAAGTGACAGACAACACACAGGAGGCTAGGAAGGACCAGAACCTTCTGGAAGGGAACCGAGGTACCACTTCCTTTGTGCGCTGATAAGCACATCAGAAAGCAAGCGGCATTTCATTTGTTGTTGCTGAGCTCTACTGTTTGAATTATCTCAGAGTAAGGCAAGGGCCCGGCACAAGCCAAACACTCCAATAATCTGGAAAAAAGAGACCTAACTCAAGTGAATTAGATGCACTAATGAAAAAAAGAGTGACTACATCTTGTTTATATTTTACCATTTTCTCTAGAACATGCTTGGAGTTGGAGCAGTCCTATTCTGCAGTCTGTACTATGCGCCGCACACAGATGGAGTTCCGAGAATTTCTAGAAATAGCTACTGCGTTAACTTCTGAGTTCACAATAACGTGTCTACGTGTCCCTGACAGCTCGACGTACTCGTCCGTGGAATTCAGCCGTAATATTACTTGCGTGACTCTAGAGAATCTGGCACGGATGCTGAATTTAGACAGTGGGCAGTACCATCAGCCCCATCACTGCTCCACGTCTTCCCTGGAACTCAGACAGACGTTACCACAGCCTGGTCACTGGTGATTCTGTGCGAAGCCCTTGGCCTGTCTGCACTGTATCTCTCTCTCCCCCATCTTCCTGGAGGAGCATGAAGAGAAAGCGCCTTTGCAGTCATGCCAACACCTGTGTCACGTGCGCTTTAGTGCACTATATTAAACATCTGCTTTGCTCTCCACTCACCTCGCCACGTGATTGATGACAGGCGCGAAGTTGGTCGGTCCGTAGAGCTGGACAGACTTCAGGCTCCTGTAATAGGCTTCCATGACGCCCTCGATGCCATCGCAGTACGGGTTCTGAGGGTTCCCATTCTGTGGAAAGTTACAGCAAAGCAAAACTGCATGGTGAAAACATGAAGGTCAATCAAGAAAGGGGGAGGCACACACACCGACATTCATACAGGCATTCGGGGCCAACAGTCACACATAGAATAAGAACGTAACAAGTAATGTGATCAACAATAAATATGCAATGATTGAAAATGCAGTTATCAAGGAAATGCAACCCAAAACCACAAGGGGATTCCCTGTTGCACCTGTCGAAACAGGCAGAGATGCACGGAAGGGAACAAACACCCTGTGAGAACAGGCAGAGATGCACCAGGCTGTGCTGCAGGCACACGGCACGGATGGCACAGCTTGGATGTGAGCCCAGGGGACCGGCCCCAGGGGACCCTGCCCTGCACCAGGACATGCCAAGCGCATGCCAAGGCCGGGCCCTCAGCCACAGCTGCGATGTCCCACATGCCAACCGGCTGTTGGGGAAGGCTTGCCACCTTATTTCCCTTCTGCTCTCGTCTTATCTTCAAACACCATTATCAGTCAAATGATATAATTTTTCTAAACTTTAAAGTAAGACATATCTTTCCATTATAAAATCAGTCCCACAAGTTGACAAATTAGAATGTGAAGCTTAGTATTTGGCCCGAAGCAGCCAGAGGTTGGATTTGATGTTAATCTGAGCTGACCTATTTAAGCTTTTTAAATAAAAGATTGTTATGGTGCTCCTTTCCCTGGAAAAGACATGAAGCTAATTTTAACAACCTGTCGCTGATTTGGGGCATGTAAACCGTATTCCCGGTCCTCCCCTGGGGACCGCCGCCAGGGCCGGCTCCGGGCGCTCTCTGACCAGCCTGGCAGTGCCTTTACCGGGGATTAGTTCCCCATGCCCCCAGTTCCTGCGGATGAATCCCAGTGGGACCACCATTTCCCTCAGCACGGGGGGAGTAATCACTGCGTGTCCCCGTCACTTTGGGATGCCTGAAACACTTTGATTTAGTCGTAAAATCCACAATGAGCTGCTCGAAGTTCAAATGCCCTGGACGATAAGACACTTTATACATCAACGTGTATGTTCTTTTTCCTTTGTGCTCTGCATTTAACTGGGGTTTTAAAATATAGTTTAGGGCTACAAAAATGAAATTTCTTACCAGATGTTAAAGTTGTAATGGGTTATCACAAGATGTTATCTGTTCAAAAGCTGAAATAATTCTGCCAGTAATCAACTTTCACTTGCAAAAACAAATTAAAATGAATTTATGGGCAGCACTGCCACCAAAATAAAACTGGAATATTCTGACCATAAGTGCGTTTACTTTTCTTGTTAATTAGTGAACAGGGCAATGGCTGAGTTGATACTTCCATCCACATCGATGTTCCACTCACGAGACAGTGAGCATGCACCTGAGTACCCAGAGCAGGCCCTCGGCCACCAGCAGCTGCATGGAGAGGGCCTAGCTCTCAGCTGCTGCCTGCCGTGGCTCCTCCGGGGACTGGGCTGCGGGGGTCACTGCACCCAGAAGCCTGCAGCCTCACACTGCCCGGACACTGGGGAGGCACCCAGAGCCCTTGCTCTGCCCGTCCTGGCTTTCTGTGGTAGCTCCCAGACCCCTCACTGTGTGAGAAGTGGGAGACCTCTCCCTTCCGTTCAGTAAACGGACATCTACTCAGAGTCCAAAGTTAGTGTCTCCATGTTCACAATGTCAGTGTGCAGTTCTAAGTACAAGCACACACACAGATATTAACTTGCACACTTTCTATTAATATCAAAATAAGTGAGCAAGTACACTTTTAGAGTTATCACGTGGGTGTAGGACATTTATCTGTTGACCGGTAGAGGGCTGCTGGCCACAGGCTCCACATACACCTCATCCCACACGGGGTCACGGGCCCACACGGGGTCACGGGCCCACACGGGGTCACGGGCCCACACGGGGTCCTCAGGAATTACAAGGCAAGCAGGGCAGGGAGCCATTCATGTTCTAATCGCAAGTGCTGAAGAGATGATTCCAGAACAATCTTCCCCATCTTTAGGACCCCCTGTCCTTTTCCAGTGTGTCGCCTCCGCCTCCCCCACCTTGCAGCCTGGGTTTGCCTGGGACCCTTTTCTTTGACAAAGCTCACCGCAGGCATCTCTACTCGCCTACGCTCCCTCAGTACGGATTACTTCAGTTTCTAGAATGTCTTCCTCGCTATGTGAAAGAATGCAACCAATATGACAAATTCTCAGCATGAAAAGCAAAGCATTTTACAGTAAACAGTTCCTTCTCTTCAAAAAGTTTTTGGAGAACACCGATTATGAAACATGACATATTGATTTCAAAATAAATTTCACCAAAGTAAGCTACTTTTAATTCCATTTCTCCAGGAATTTAAGAAATACTCTCAAATTTACTGCAGAAATGTAGCCTGAGATTAACACAACACTCTGGCAGGGATCAAATAAAATATTATCATTAAATATACTTTTAATCTTTTTTTGTTAAATCTCACCTATCTAAGAAACCCAAAGTGCTACCAGAAAGTGAAAGAACTGTAAGTACAAGGTAATCTTACAGTTAATGCCATCATCATAATCAATAATCATTTCTGTTGGCATCATCATCAACTTGGGGAACTTCCTCACACATCTGGAAGGGGGCGACCCCCAGCGCATGCGTGTTTGAACGGACCTGAGGACCCGCTGAAGGTGCAGGTGACAGAGCCTCCTTACAGCAGAAACGAATGTGGAAATAACAGAGGAAAAAAAAATACTCAAGGGCGAGGAGAAACATATGGAAGGAAAATTAATAACCCTAATTTAGTTTAGCACAATTCTTCCTTTTCTCAGGCTTTCAAACAGCTCCTAACCCTCAGCCCGAGGCGTTTCAAAAGAAGGACCACATGAGTGGTTTTCACGGTCTTACAAGCTGCTGGGAAATTTTAATTTTCTAAGAGATAACAGAATTCCGACGGATTCTCATTTTTATGTAACACTACCAGTACGGCATGTGGGCCATTTCATGGAAGAAAGAACTAAACTTTCCATCCACACCCAGCCGTGGGCCCGAACACTGACCGGAAGGGATATGCTAGCTCCTCCGACTCTGCTTTCATGCTGTGACCCACGGGCCATGAGCGCAGCGGCATGTTTAAATGGGTTTAGGAACTCTTGCTGCCCAACAATACTCAGAGTAGAGCCCTCTAGAAGTCAGACGTTCCTTTGGGAACTATATTGCTCTTATTTTAGCTTTCTCTTATTTTTCTGTTCAGTCTGCTGCCACAGAAGCCAGCTTTGGGAAGAGCTAGAGCAGAAAGAAGCCAACAGCAAAAGACCCAACACAGCAGACTTTCCAATATCAACCCCGGCTGACAGTCTCACCAACGCAAATTCATGAGAGATCCTTCCATCGGGAGGCAGCTTGGCACCAAATCCCAGAGCTGGGAACATCTTGTCGCTGTCGTAATCTTGAACGATTTCTCCCACCGCCTTCAGGGCCATCCCGTAGGCGTTGAGCTGGTAAGGGTTCATGTAGTGGAGAGAGGTGGGCTGGGCAGGGTTGCCTGTGGACGGAAACAGCACTTGACACAGCTGCCACCAGGGGAGGGGGCTCTGTCCTGAAACTATCGCCGGCCTGTAGCTTGAATCCTTAGGTTTCAGTTCACAGAAGCCAACAGTCCCTGGGTATCTACAACTACCAGACCGTCTTCAGCCTGTGCTGCCGACACAGAGGGAACAGCTGGGAAAGGACTCAGTTATTTCTTCGCAGAGGCAGAGCATGCCGACTCCCCAGTTCTGCCCACACATCTCGGTGTGACAGATCACAGATTCTCTTTCCAGACGTTACGGGCAGCCATGGGCGCAGTCCCGTGCCCCGTGTGCAGAGTCACATCTCTAGAATCTGTTCTGTCACTGCGCTGAGCAAAGCAGGTCAGATTATGCACCTGAAAGATCAGTGCAAACAGGAAGGCACTACAGAACTGGACTTACTTAGACATCGCATCTCTGTTCTTGGACTCAGGTAAGTTTTGCGGACAACCTGTTCCAGGACTAATCCAATCTGTCCTCTCCCACTGGCCAAGGCCCATTCTCCACTCCCGGACACACATGCTTCACGGCAGCTGGGGTGACGACTCATCAGTGTGGAAACGAGAGAACTAGTATTTGAACAAGCTGGACAAACCTAGCATCTTGAACCCGCTGGACTGTAGGTTTTACTTCTGTGTTCCATTTTATTTTATTATTTTTTAAAAGTAGAACACATGAGTAAAACTCATTAGCTTGAAGTTGAAGTAACAGAGTAACTCAGCTCGGTGGTTTCAGCGCGGCTCTCGGAGGGCGGAGCGCCATTTTAGCATGTAATACATGCTAAAATGCTGAGAGCCTGTGCCTATTTGTTTAATTTTACTGTTTTGCATATGTGAGCTATTACATAACACTGACAATGAAAAATTTGCAGATTTTGTAGAAAAGGCTTCAGAAGTTGTAAACATCAGAATCAAATATCTAACCCTCAAAACACTTCACTTTTCACGTAACTGTCCCTCATTCTGTCCAGAGGTAACCGTGACACTCACCATTTGAGGCCGTGAAGTCAATAGCCACTGTGAAGTTAATCTGTGTTCTAGAATGGAAGTAAACCAGAGTCATTAATTAGACAAATAACCTCCAAAAAGTAGTTAGTTTGCCACTTTCATTAGGTTAGTTAATCTTTCCAATTCTGTGTAATGTGAATTTGTAAGTACGTCATAGTGTGCACACCGGACAACGTCAGGCAATCTGCTGGGTACAACTTTATAGAATTCTTTTTTTCATCATATTTCTACAAAATGGAAAAAAAAAACCCAAAGTAACTGCATTTTGCTACACAACAGAGTGTAATACAGCCGTCAGGCAGCACACAGGCTCTGCCAGTCTCAGACGCCAGCACTTACAACGGATCCACCTGTTCTCAGGCAGCGCGAAAGGCCAGCGGGGCTGAGCCCACCCGTACCAGCCGGGCCTGGGCGCACAGGCTCTCCTGCAGGAACCACATGCTTCCGAGGCCACGCCCCAACTCATCTCCCCCAGCTTTCCTGCGTGTGTGTGTGTGTGTCTGCTGACAGATAAATAGATATGTATGGGTGAAATCCGCTACATTTATCAATTTTAGCACGTGCTATCTAGCCGAACTTGTTTTACTGGGTTAATTTTTTTGTTTCTCCTTTCTGACCAAACTAAGGAGGTAGCACTCACATGAGACATTCACCCTCTGGCTTTCACCTGTGCCACCGCACCTGAGTAACTGCGCCTGTTTTTAACCAGAGAAGACGTGCAAGGAAAAGCAGTGAAAATAACGATTACATGTAATAACCTGAAATTGCATCTGATTTTTAAAGTGTTAATTCATTTCCATTGTACGAGAGACAGAATCTTTTCATGTCCAGTACACTACCTCAAATGCCAGCAAGAGTGTCACCGGATCCAAGCCATGTGCCCAGAACCCAAGCTCGGCTCGATGCAGTCGGAAAGGACCGAGGTGCGTGGAGTGCGGCCCCGTGGCTGTCACAGCGTGCGGGAGCTGCGAGTCGGAGCTGAAGCTGGGAGCTGGGACTTAGAACAGCCGCTTTGATATGGGCGTCCCAGGTGGCAAATGAAACACTACGCCCACTGAGACATGATTTTAACTAAAAAGTATATCATCTGAATCCGTGAATAGACGGCTTTGGCCACAGATTATTTTGGACCCAATGCACAACTGTTTTAACACTTCAAAATCTGAAACTGTTACATAAACGATGGTGCCAATGGTGACAGGATTTAAACATCCTGATTCCAGCAGAGGGTCTTCTCAGTATCAAGTACAGCAATATGTTCACCTTCTTCTTGAAAATGTAGCTGGATGGGGGGCCAGCACTGTGGCACACGGGCTAAGCTGCTGCCTGCTGTGCCAGCATCCCACAAGGTCACTGGTTCAAATCCTGGGCTGCTCTACTTCTAACGTGCCTTTAAAAGCAGCAGCAGATGTCCAAGCACATGGGTCCCTGACACCCAAGGGGGAGGACAGACGCAGCGTCTGGTTCTGGCCTGGCCCAGCTCCTTGGAGGAGTAGCCACTCCAAGGATGGTCTCCATGTCCAGCTTTGCCTCTCTGTAATCTGTCAAAAATATTTATGAAGCAAATCTCTTTTAAAAATTAGCCTAGAAAGACCCACGTATGATTCTTAAATGCATTTTTTTTTTTTGCCTTTCCTAAGGAACGTACAACCTTTCATTGAACAAAAATGAATACAGGTTCCCTTTATAGTCAGTCATTTCATCTCATAGCAGAAATCGGGTTTGTAGGCTAAGAATATAGGTTAACTTGGAGCACAGGACTAGCCAGCATGAGCCAAAGCGAGAGCAATCCTGCAGAAAAGCTCGTGAGACAGCGGGGAGCCCATGCATCGGACACCCCTCGGAGGCCCGAGGAACAGTCCCCGCCCGCACACGGCTGGGCCCTGTGCCTGAGGGCAGTGCGTGCCGTGCAGGGGGCTGTGGTCGAGCAGAAAGGACACACCTTCCGAGGCCCCCAGAACTGGGTAGAGTCCCAGCAGCTGAGCTGATGCCCTAGGCCAGGGTTTACAGCTGCTTCCGGGCACAGAGTAACGAGAATCTCAAACTAATGCCATGCTTGGGTAACATGCTTAGTTTGTCAGTTAACCTCACAGTAACTTTACAAAGTCGCCTGTCCGATGCACAAGGAGAACTATGCTGGGAAAAATCAGTAAAATTTCTATCAGTACTAAGTGCTAGCATTCCAATTTGAATTCACCTTTAAATGCAAGGCTTGTATTTATGACTGTTTCTTCAGGTAAATATTTGCAAACTGCATAGTAACAACAATCCAATGAAGGACAGTGCACTATGGTGACAACCTAAGAAAGAGACCAGAGAGGGTGGTGCTGTGGCATGGTTGGCAAAGCTGCTGCCTGAGACGCCGGCATAGTGTGCGGGTGCTGGTTCGTGCCCTGCCTGCTCCATGTGTGACCCATTCCCTGAAGGAGCTGTGAGAAGCAGCAGCAGACGTTCCAAAGCCTGGAGCCCTACCGTACGGAGCGGAGACCTGGGAGCACTGCCTGGCTTTGGACCGGCCCAGCGCTCGACGCTGCAGGCATCTGAAGAGCAACCCCGTAGACGGACGATGTCTCTCTAACTGTGACTTTCAAAATAAATCCACAATCTTTTAAGACAGTCAAACTTTAAAAAGATGCCACACCAACAGCATGATAACCAAGACTGCAGAAGCAGGCGTTTGGCACGGCTGTTGGCTTGTTCACATCCTTCAGCAGTGTGTTGACAGAGTTCTGCCACCGTTCTCCATGCCAGCTCCCTGCTCGGGCATCCTCGGAGCAGCAGGAGAGGGCTGAAGAAACTCGGCCCCTGCTACACACGGGTCTGCCCTGACTTCCTGGCTGGGCCATCCGGAAGTGAACCAGCAGAAGGTATGTGTGTGTGTGTGTGTGTGTGTGTGTAAAAATCCAGCAGATAATAAAGATTGATTTATAACTTGGTTTCTGGTTCCATCTCCCTTAGGTAGTAGTGAAAGAACCTCGTTTTCTCTCTCTCAGACAGCAGGTACAGAGGCTTTGTGCCGAGAACATGAATCCATCAGTCCATGGTTGTTTCTAACTTGGCCGGGGTCGTCAGGACTTTGAGCGCAATTACTCAAATGAAGAAAAACTCCAACAGTCTCTCGGACACAAAGGTCCCATCAAAGCCAAAGCTGCCAGGAAAAGTAATGCTGCCGTGTGCCAACTGCCGGCGAGAGGTGGGAGCAACACCAGGCTGGACTCGGAGCTTCTCTGATTGCAGGTTTTTATTAGCAAAAACGACTAAGATAGCACGGCATTTTGGCCCTCAGTGCACCTGTATCACCTCCCCTTCCTGCGGCGCTTACGCGCATGCCCCACGATTCCCCAAAGCACTGACTCATCAGTTTCAAAGGAGGTTCTGGCAGCCCTGTTACTCCAGGCTACGAGCAATCCTGAACATTCTGATAAATGACAGCGTTATAAAAGTAAGCCTAACAACAGCCATAAATCTTCTTACTCTTTTTCATCTTCGAATACTGCGTGAGGCCTCAGCACAGAGGAAGAATCTATCATGTGTCAAATTAAGAAATGTAAATGCACGTGACTCCTGATAGAATATTCGTGAAACAACTGCACGTGAGCTCCTGACACATTTTGCTAAGGAAGTGTTACTTCAGCTTTAGAAACAGACAAGGAAGAGCAAGATTTCAAAAACCTCAGAGAGCAGCACTACATTCTAGAATATGAAGCAGTGACGCCTGCCCAACTGCGTAACTTAGTGCTAACATCGCACGAGCCTCCCGATGCGCAAGTCCCACTAACGCAGCAATGCGCACGTCCCGCTAACGCCGAAATGCGCACGTCGAGGAAGTCTGTCTCACTTTACTGCACGTACAAACACTGTGACCGACAGGTATCAAAACGCCAAGCGAAGAACACTCCGCTTTGCAGGAAAGGGCCCCAAACAAGTAGACGTGAGCATGTGCCTGTCAAGCCCCCTGAGAAAAATGATCTTAGATATCTTTTGCACAGCTGCTGTTATGAATTACCAAGAATAACAACCGTGAGGGGGACACCCACAAGACCCACATTCCTTTCTCCCGACTGAGGGCTGAGAGTCTGAGAGGAACTTCCTTCTCCCTTTGACAAAACAGACTCAGACCCACAGGCAGCAGGACGTCTAACTGGCCAAATGCAGTTGGGAAGCCTACCCATCTCCAACGCCCCTCCTGCCCATTCGGTGTCCGTCCCTTGGTTCCCCTATGCAGCCCGGTCTGGGCCTCGCCCTGCACCCAGGCACGGTCACGCAGCACCACGTGCAGCCCGGGTCTGGGCCTCACCCTGCACCCAGGCACGGTCACGCAGCACCACGTGCAGCCCGCGTCTGGGCCTCGCCCTGCACCCAGGCACGGTCACGCAGCACCACGTGCAGCCCGGGTCTGGGCCTCGCCCTGCACCCAGGCACGGTCACGCAGCACCACGTGCAGCCCGCGTCTGGGCCTCGCCCTGCACCCAGGCACGGTCACGCAGCACCACGTGCAGCCCGCGTCTGGGCCTCGCCCTGCACCCAGGCACGGTCACGCAGCACCACGTGCAGCCCGCGTCTGGGCCTCGCCCTGCACCCAGGCACGGTCACGCAGCACCACGTGCAGCCCGCGTCTGGGCCTCGCCCTGCACCCAGGCACGGTCACGCAGCACCACGTGCAGCCCGCGTCTGGGCCTCGCCCTGAACCCAGGCACGGTCATGCAGCACCATCCTTGATCTTACTTTACACCATAGGTTAGAGCTTGAACCCTTTCCTGACTCAGCTCTTGCCTCTTTCTTAAGTCTAGTTCATCCACATGAACACGGAGCAGACAGCTCCATCTCGCCCATAAATCAGTCTCAGGATTAAGTGACCTCCCCAAGCGAAGCCCCCCAGAGTAAGAGGTTCTGTGACACCACCCTATGAATTTCTATATCAGGAATGTAATCTGGGAAAAGCGATTTAGCCTCTCCACACCTCATTTCTAGTAGAGTAGAACACCCCTCCCACTGCTGCTACAAGGAGCGTTGGAGCACAGCTCTCCCAGAAGCCTTCATAAGTAGCTGCGCCCTCACCCCTGCACGGACGCTGCTTGCTGGCCTGACGTCAGCACAATGCCTCTCTGGGCATCCTGGAGTCTCCAGTCACCACAGACTCTGACCATGCCCTCAACCCACCCCCACCATACCTGCTTTGCTTCTCAGCACACATGCTGGTCTCAGCCTGCCAGCCCCAAACCGCACCCCATATGATCCGCCCTTTTTACAGAGTGCCATCCAGGCAAAAAATTCTCACTGCAAGAAGCAAGTCTAAATCTGGCCTCTGCCTTACTGCTTTAAATAAACAAAAAAACATTTTATTTGTGCGAAAAGCAGATTTACAGATTGACAGGAAGAGCCAGAGATAGAGAAAGCACTGCCTACTCCACAAGTGTCAACGATGCCAGATTAGAGAAAAAAAAATCAAAAGGAACAGAAGCAAAATGAGCCATCAAAACATCGATTCCAAGCCCCAAATCGCTATAAGTACTACAGAGTAGAATGCTGGTTCAGCCTGCTGCAGGTGCCAGAGCAGCGAGCAGGCCCAGGGTCAGGCACTGCACACCAACTGCAGCTCAAGCCCAGGATCGCCAGCAAACCAGCTCTGACCCCAAGCACAGCCACGCGTTCTGAACCCCCAACTTCTCCAACATCGGGTAACCTGTACTGCGGAGGAGTACTTTAAACATCAGAAATAAAACTCCATGGCAACTGCACTTTGATGAGCAGCGAACGCCACTTGTGAGAGAACACATTTCTTAAGTGACTCCAGGTTCATGCTAATCCTCTCCCTTGCACGGTCAGAATAGGCAATTCTTCCTTTTATTACAGCTCACATAGCTGTCATCAATTCTTCCCGTTGTGGCCCCGGCCTATCAATGGTGGTATGATAAGTCTTCTGTTTGAGCAAACGGCAGCGCATGTGGTGTCTGTCAGAGCTCCAATGACGTCATCTACGATGACGCGGTACAGCATCACTCCCTAGGACTACGTCACTGATAAATCCTCCCCCTCTTCCTCCACCTGCCTTTGCCAAATTACTGTTCCCCTGTCACCTTTCTCCTCTCAGCCCCAGACATTTTAATGGACTACCATTTCAGAGATTGCAAAGCATGCTGTCGGCAATGGAATAACTTTACAATAGGCACAATATTAACCCCCTAACACTATCATGCCATAAGAAAAAAAAAAAGAGGGTTTCTGTTGGAGCTTCTGGATAAAAGGACTGAATGACATTCAACTCACCTTAAAAAAAAAAAAGTACCAAAATTCCACATCAGCACTTAAAATGAATTTATGAAAGGTCCACAGTTCCTCTACAATTTTAATTTTTTTCCTGAGACTTATGATTTTTTTAATGGGAGATTAACCTTTTATCTGAGATTTCAGGGAGTTTTGAGATTTGGGGCTAAGACTGAGCTGCCATGCTCAGTGGACAGGACTCCCCGGCGAGCAAGCACTGCCCTGCAGCCATCGGGGCACGGAGCTGACAACAAGGACAGCCTCGCTGACTGCACAGTCACAAACAGCAATGCCACCATCCCACCAATGAGGAGCAAGTAAGATAAAACACGGGAACTTTCCCCAGCGTGGTGGCCTAGTGCATAAAGTTCTCGCCTTGAATGTGCTGGGATCCCATATGGGTGCAGGTTTGTAGGTTCATGTCCCAGCTGCTCCACTTCCCTTCCAGCTCCTTGCTTGTGGCCTGAGAGAGCACTCGAGGACGGCCCAAAGCCTGTACCCATGTGGGAGACACGGAAGAAGCTCCTGGCTCCTGGCTTCAGATTGGCTCAGCTCCAGCTGTTGCGGCCACGTGGGGAGTGAACCAACATATAAAAGAACTTTCTCTCTGTAAATCTGACTTTCCAATAAAAATAAACAAATCTTTTTAAAAAGTGGAACTTTAAACCAATTAATGTAATAGCCTTCCTTCATGGATAGCTACCTCCACACCATTTAGCCTCACAGACCTTACTGTTTTTTTCCTTTTTCACAGACATGGAAACAGGTAATGCTACCAGGTGGCGGCAGGCCTAGGATATGAACATTCTAACTACTAGTTCTAGAATCCAAGTTCCTAAGCAGTCCCAGGCATGGCCTCTGGAACCTGTACCCACTTCCTGGGCAAACATTTACCCCAGACCTTGTCAACTGAGTGACTCCCAGCTTCCGGTCCTCTTCGTCCACTACCTCCAAACCATGGAGTTCAGGGCACATCCGTCTACCACCCACAGGCAGACCTGGGAGGACTTCCTGTCACTGGGGCACCCTGGGGAGCGAACCTGCACAGGGCAGGGTTGTCACTCAGCTTCTCAAATCTAAACAGTAAGAATGAACCCACAGGAAGATGCAGTGTGTACAGGTGGTACCTGTTGTCTCTCACAGCCCAGCTGGTGGGGTGAGCGTGCTACACTGCTTCAGCCTGCAGATCCGTGGCTTTCTAATACACTCGCAGCTGATAAAGGCACATAGCAGGGACTCGGCAGGCAGCACCACCTGCGATCTGTTCCCTCTTCACTGCAAGTCAGAGAGATGGGGGCAGTCGAGGACGGCCCAAGCCTTGGGACCCTGCACCTGTGTGGGAGACCAACCTGGAAGACGTTCCTGGCTTTGGATCAGCACAGCTCCCGCCACTGCAGCCACTTGGGGAGTGAGCCAGCGGATAGAAGATCTTTCTATCTCTCCTTCTCTCTATAAAATCTTACTTTCCAGTAAAAATAAAATCTTAAAAAAAAAAATGGGGCCGCGCCTGAGCAGGGTGCTATGAGGACCTGGTGCAGGCTGCCAGAGGCAGACACACAGCTGCCTGCATGGTCACTGGGCGCCCCAGAGTCTGCGCCATCAGGCAGCTGGAGTTAGAACAAAGACACACTGACACAGGCCCAGACGGCCTGCCTTTCCTGGTGCCATTTGAATTGTCCATTTACCAAACACCCATTGAACAGATAGGAGCTATGTAGCAAGCTGCTTTATACGTGCCTTTTACCGCCTTTTCTCTGAACCGAACCAGCGCGTGAACAAACAGTACCTTGGAGTATGACAACTCAGCACACGGGATCGCACAGCCCTATGGCTCAGTCTCTCAGGTTTCAGTTGACTGGAAACCTTCCTCTTGCCATCCTCTTCCCCAAACCTGGGACACAGCGCTTGCCAGGGTGAGAAGAAAAAGCACTGCTGTGTTGTCCCTGCCAGAGAGAATGCGCCCTGAGCTCCGCGCTTCGGAGGCAGAGGAAGCAAGCGCAAGGAGACGTGAGGCTGAGTCACTCAGTTGACAAGGTCTGGGGTAAATGTTTGCCCAAAAAGTGGGTGCTGCTTCCCGAGGCCACGCCTGGGACTGCCTAGGAACTTGGGTATGCTAGAACTGAGAAAGCACGAGCTGTCATTCACCGGTTCACTTCCCAGATGGTTGTAGCAACCAGGGCTGGGCCAAGTGGAAGCCAGGAAACAGGAACTTCATCCCTGTTTCCCACGTAGGTACAGTGACCCAAGCACCAGCTCCCTTCCTCTGCTTTCCTGGTTCATCAGCGGGGGGATGGACCCACAGTGCAGTAGCAGGGACGTGAACCAGCACCCACATCGGAGGCTATCTTTCCAGTTGTTGGCTTTAGCAGAATGCTACAATGCCAGCTGCCCCTACACACGGCCTTTTGCAGAAATGGTCAGTAGCATTTCCTCCAGCACAGGCCACGTGTAAAGGATGCAGCGTCTAAGCCAAGAGCAGAGGCCTTGGAGGTCAGCAGCAAAGGCTGAGTGTGTGGAAGGGGTGAGGGCACCGCCTTCTAGCACTGTGGAAATCCCGAGCCTCAACTCGCAGGAGGACAACTCAACAACCAGCAATCCGACAGCGGCAGCAAATGGCTTTTTCCGATACACCTGCAACAGCTGACCAGATGTGCACTGCCGACAAAGTGTAGGGATCTCTTACAGACACACGCACGGCTCTCACGTCCTTGCAAGGTTCTGTTTTTACATTTTATCTCCCCAAATTAGAGCATGGACGGTCAATCTTTGTTGTGAAACTGACCTTTGTCCCTTGTCTGGCTTGAAGTCACCGTCCCGGGCAGGCAGGACTAGCCATGGTTTACACGGCTGAGGCCTCGGACTGTCAGTCCTCACAGGTCCCTCACACACTCAGACCTCCCTCGCACCGGCTCTGCATGCACTGACACCAGAGTCTGCGGGCACTTGGTCCTGTGCGACCATGCATGCTGTGTTAGGGGTGCCTGGCTAGCTCACAATGGTCCAGCTGGGTCAAATACAAGCACAGCTGGAGACAGCTCCCTGTTTGCCAGAGTGCAGAAATGCACAATGCAACAACACCAAGGAATTTTCCCTGGAAAGTTCTGAGAATGGGTTAGAGTGTCCATTGTCCTTGTGAAACGCCTCCTGCCTCGTGGGCTGGGGAGTCACCCCTGGCTGACCCCGGGGCTCCCCACCGGGACTCAGACAAGCAGCATGCCATCACCATCCTGCAGCCAGCACAATCATCTTCAGGTCGGCTGCCAAGCTTCTGAAACGGTGACATGTTGTGCAGGTTGGGCAGTGAGAAACACACAGCAAAGCAGACCTAACATCTTCACCTGGGAGCAGTGGCAACACAAGGAAGCCCCCTCCTCTTGGTTAAGCGAGAGTTAGGTGCGATCGGCCCCCATCCGACAGCATTTGGTGTATAAGCACTTCTAGAGCACGAGGGCAAGAGGCGCACCCCCACGTGAGCGTGCAGGTCATGGACACGTGCAGGGTCCCCCACGCAGTGTCCCAGGAACGCTGGGTATTACTCACCCTCCCTTAATGTAGTCAAGGAAAGAAACTTCAGTTTCTACCAAGAAGGAAAGTAAGGTTACCTAGAAAAAAAATCCAGAATTATCCACTGGAGTAACTATAACATTTCAAATACAAATGTTTTTTTCTTTGACAAAAAATCATATTTTCTATGATTTGGCAGACCACAAAAACTTGGTACTTCATTAAAAATCTATTAGAACTGAAAACTGACTGTTCTTACATTTAAATTTAAAATCGACAGAAAGGAAAAAAAACAAAAAATAAAAAACACAACTCCTCCCTCGGAGCAGCTTGCTTCCTTTGAGGAAGAGCATGAGACCGTCTCGAGGACACTGTGCCACCTCCCCTTTTAGATGCCAGGGAAGAGGAAAGGAAGCTGGACAATGGTTAAAACGGAAACAGCAGAGCCAGGGAGCCCCGGGCGGGCAGGGCGGTCCTCCAGGCTGTGTCAACCCCATCCTCCAGGCGCCAGTTCACAGACACCTTTCCATGGAAATGCAGAGAAAATTCTGAATGTTAATTCTAAGGGAAACTTTCAGCACTTTTTCTTCCAGATGTAACAGCACTGATCTCAGACAATTTCCAGGTACATTTGTGTTCGCACCGCAGCGTTCATGCTCGTTCATGCACGAGCACCTGCGAGGCCGCGAGAGCCGCACAGCCTCAGCGTAAGCGCAGTGCCTTCCCACGGGCACGGACAGCGCTTCAGAATTCAACCTTCTTCATGTCTGCCAACTCTGTTCCGATGCACCGAGTGAGCAGTGAAGGCCACCTCTCCCTGGGACCGCGGCCCGTGATGACGTCACCTCTCCCTGGGACCGCAGCCCGTGATGACGTCACCTCTCCCCGGGACCGCAGCCCGTGATGACGTCACCTCTCCCAGGGACCGCAGCCCCGTGATGACGTCACCTCTCCCAGGGACCGCGGCTCCGTGATGACGTCACCTCTCCCAGGGACCGCGGCCCCGTGATGACGTCACCTCTCCCAGGGACCGCAGCCCCGTGATGACGTCACCTCTCCCAGGGACCGCAGCCCCGTGATGACGTGCAGGAAGCCTGGCACCAGGTTCTCCATCCTGACTTCTCAGCACAGTTCACTTTTCTGTTCTTCCTCACTCTCTCCATGTGAAACAAAGCTCAAGTAGAAACAGCTGCCAGCTCACTTAGAATGCAGCTTCAGATAGGCCTTACTCCTTAATGTGGACACTTCATAAACAACATGAAACTCGACTTACTGTTCCAGAGTTCGTGTACTTTTTCTTTTTCCCTTTCTTTTTAGGATTCACCACCTTAAAAACAAATGAAAAAAATAAGATGTCAGGTTTTACACTAGATTTTTAAAACGCAGTTTAATCTACGACTTTCGCCTCTCATGCCTGTTTAGTCGCCTAGTTCACATCCTGGACAGTGATCCGGCAGAACTAGCTGGTTCCTCGGACAAACACGCAGCACACGTGTGAGGGAACCTCACCTGAGAAAGTGCGGAAACGAGGCAGGCAGGGAACTTCCGATGAGAATGGGAGGAAGTCACCAGTCACATCCTAGTAACTGGGCAAGCTAGACAAGATGACCTGTTCAGAATGTTGTTGAGTTTCCTCTCCAACCTCGAACTGATCCTCCCCCATGCCTTTTTTTTTTTTTTTTGGACCCAGGAACTGTGTTTCCCAAACTCAGCCCTCAGCAGCACTGACTGCTTTTTGCCTAGCACCCCTCTTGCAGCTGCAATAAAGTCCACTTGGCTTCCTCAACTATCTGCATGAAAATTGGTTTTTTCATGTGGGACAAGAATGGGGTTACTTTTGTTCCTGGCATCTAAACCCTGTACCACCACCACAGATCAAGGAGAAACAGTGCTAAAATCTGCTGTGTGCTCCAGCACGCAGCCGGCGGACAGCTGGCAAGGGGTGTAAGGCTGTGCACCGTGTGCTGCCTTCGTGGATTCCTGTCCCGCTTTCTTTTTTGAGGTCATTTATTTCAAAAGCAGAAAGACACAGAAGAGACAGCAGAGAGACCCTCTCTTGACTAGTTCACTCCCCAAACCTGGTGCCAGGAACTTCATCCCGGCTTCCCAGTGGCAGCTACCCAAGTACATGGGCTGTCCTCGGCTGCACTCCAGGCACCTGACCAAAGGGCAGGATCGGAAGCAAAGAGCGGGGGTGCACAGGCACACCCCACCGAACACAGCCACCGTGCATGCTCACAGACACAACTGGAATACACATTTGTTTGTTTATTAGGAAAGGTTTTGAGAACAAGCTGGTAGAAAGACAAAACATAAGGATTGACTTGGGAAAAAGTACACATGCTCACTCAGCTGAAGCTCAAACGGGATTGCAGAGGCAAAACTCCAAAATCACTCCAGATTTAAAAATGCCAAACAACACAAGAAAAGTAATTCCATTCAGTCTAAGAAACAAGTCTGTCCCCGAGTTTAAAGACTTAGAACCATTTACCAGTGCTAAGTTAATCTCCAGCACTTATCCTTTGCAAATCCTTTGCAAAACACATATTTTTAAATCATAAAAAGTTAGCGAAAAGGATAAAATAAAATGTTTCTCACCTCATACACATTGAACTGAGACTGCCCTCTAGAAAGTTCTCGGTAGCTTGTTGTAAATTCTCCAATGAAATCATGACTAAAGGGGAAAAAAACACACATACTTTTAGCTTTCATCTATTTCTACAACAACATTTTAAAGCTTTTTATAGAAAGGTAAGTTTAGTTACTATGTTATTGTGAACATAAAAATGCCAGGACACTGATAGATCATTTCATTTTCTTCTAATTCAAAATCACAAGCGTAATTCCGATTTATCAATATTCCAACATTTCATTAAAATCTTTGACACAGGGATACTAGTTTTAGGAACTATCTCAAAAATATTATAACATCAGTGTTATCAAAATAATGATTTATTAGGATGAAAACTGGAAACACAATTTTTTCACCATTTCAATAATCAAAAGTACAATACACAGAAAACTTCAAACTTTCCTAGGAATGGGAGGAGTAAGATGGCCCTGCAAAAAGCCCAGGCATGCTCGTATGCCAACAACCACCAGGAAGTTGGACCTGCATCATAGGAAGGGAAGAAAAAACAGTGCTGCCGTTCATTCCAGCATTTATATAACAAGCTGTCCTAAACGAGCTGACACAGCTCATCCAGCTAGGCAGCCTCCGGCTCTCCTTCCTGAGAATGTTGTAGATGTCCCATGTCACGGTGTTTTCCACGAGACACTGTTCCTTAACCAGAGTCATCTTGACCGTTTCTACGTGTAATTTCCAGATGGAGAAAGAGAACCGAAGACTGCGCTTTCTTTGTGTTTCTGAACCCGAGCTCCCGAGCTCATTCTTCCACGTCACAAAGAGGAACTTGCACTCCGCGATTTCGGGGTCACGCATCACCCCCGAGTTAGCACGCTGCTGAGGAATGAGTCAGTTCTGGGTAAGAAGGAAGTCCCTGACGGTCAGGAGCTCCGAGTGGTGACACTCGGTGGCATCCTTGCTGAGAAAAAGATCCTCCTTGACCACAAGGAGAAGCATGGCCAGCCACCCATGGGCACAAGTGCCCACAGCATTACTCATGCTGAGGCTCCAGGCAACTGTCGGCAAGCAGTTCCCTGAATAGGGGTGGGTTTTGTTTCTGTAAAATTTGACACTCCGCAGAATTGAGTAATGAACGCCAGGGTTCCATCCAGTTGGTCTCAGTGCCAGGAACATGCGTGCCTTACGGCCTGCTTGCCGGAAGCACCCTGTCCATCACGGACTGGAGGAACTGTCCGCCACGCATGCGTCACTTGCAGGTTTACAGCGAAGCCGGCAATCTGTAACCATGACCTGCTCTCCTCTGCAGATCGCGCTACCTCACCCACATTGCCCACTTCGCTTCCGTTTTCTTGCAAAGCTTAGCTTGCTGTCTTATGTTGCCAGCCATATCTGTATATACTGGTTACATGCCGTACCCAAAATGGCGCCGGCCAGAGAGGCTAGATCTTGGTGCCTGGTGGATAGTCACGTAGCTTTGGCAGTACCACGCATGCGCCTAGCGCATGCGCAGTGAGCTGCGGCGCGGCAGGCACGTAAACACTGGGACTGACGAATCCAGTCGCCCAGAACCCTGCGTAATCATGACGCCGACCTATCATCGGCGGAGGCGGGGCCAGACAGCACATAAGAGTAGAAGCCTGCCGGGATTCACGCTTCCTTCCTCATGTTAGTGTGCACAATAAATTTTACCGCAGGAGACTTCACACGCGTCTGCGTCTTATTGCTGGGCGGTAAGACACGTGGGCGCGACAACTGGTGCCGAAACCCGGGACCTGGAGGGAGCCTCCCGTTCAAAACGGGATGGAGTCAGAACTGCGGCCATAAAACAGGTAAGGAGCTCTGAGAGGGAGAACTTTCGGGTGACTAGGAGCATAAATCGGAGGTATATGAGCCGCCGCTTCTGGTTATAGACATGGGCGCACAGGTCTCTCTGGTGAAATTTTTGCAGATGGTTTATGCCCCGCATAAGGGAGCGGTCAGAGAGAGTGACGAAGCCCTTCAGTCTGCCCAGGATAGTCTCTCAGAAACAGAGCGGGAGAGGAGAACCGGTTTGAAGCAAAAAATAAAGGTGAAACTTAAAGCAGTATCTTCCTCATCAAGTTCGGAGACTTCCGACGCTGAGGAAGGGTATAAGTGGGATAGGCGCTTAGAACGTAAACCTGCAGGAAATAGACAAGGATTAGAAAAGGAGAAGAAAGATAATGGCGGTGCTACTGCGCCGGCCACGCGCGGCCCATGGCCTCAGGACTCTGGAGCCATTTCATCAATGGCTCCTCCTCCTGTGACGCCATCAGCCCCGCCCATGAGTTATGGCGCCGGCTCTTCCTTCATCGATGCAGCCGCGCGCCGGGAACTTCAAGATATGTTCCCCGTCTTAGAAGAAGAAAGGGAAAGAGTTCACAGACAGGTAGATGCAGCATTAGTGCGAGAATTGGCCATGTCTGTAAAGCAATATGGTCTTCATGCCAATTACACTTTGTCCCTGTTAGAACGTATGGGGGGAATGAATATGACTCCCTCTGATTGGCAATTTGTGGTGAAGGCTGTTCTCCCTAACATCGGATCATATCTAAATTGGAAGAGCCTATGGCAAGAGCTTTTGGCTGAGACCGCCCGCGCAAATCAACAGCGTGGCGGTGATGCTTTGACCTGGACTTATAATATGCTTTCCGGACAAGGCCAATACTCTGATGATCAAAATAGATATCCATGGCCAGTGTATACCCAGATCTCTACTGCAGCTATAAAGGCTTGGAAGGCCCTTTCACTTAAAGGGCAAGAGAAACTGGGCATTACACAGGTTAAGCAGGAGCCAGATGAGCCCTTTGCTGATTTTGTGGCACGCGTAATGCAGGCCGTGGAAAGGACCTTTGGAGAGGGAGATCAGAACACTAAAATGGAAGAGCAGATAATTTGGGAGCAGTGTAATGCAGAATGTAGAGCCCTACTCAAGGATCGTAAGTCCAAGGGAATTTCAGATTGGCTAAAGGTTTGTAGGGATACAGGAGGCCCCTTAACAGCTCATGGACTAGCAGCCGCCATTGTGAGGTCATAATCCACAAGGTCAGGGGATAATCGAACGTGCTCATCGCTCTATTAAGGAATTATTGCAAAAGCAAAAAACCACCTGGGAATCACTTGGCCTCGCCAGTCAGAGCCCTTGGGCCACTCTAGCCCTGGCTCTCTTCACCATCAATTTTTTACAGCTGGATGAGAAAGGCCTCAGTGCTGCAGATCGTCATTCCCTCAAGACGGCGCAAGAGCAATCTTGGGTCAAGTGGAAGGATGTTCTGGAGTCCAAATGGAAGGGCCCAGACCCAGTTATTAGGCAGGCTCGAGGAGCCATTTGTGTGTTTCCACAGGACGCCCCAGTTCCGGTTTGGGTTCCAGCTCGATTGACTCGTTCCTGTCCATCACCGCCTTCTGACGTTTCTGCAACTGCTGGAGCGCTTGCACGAGGATCTGACTTGGGGAGGATTCATGCAGACCCGCAATCAGAAACTCCTCCTACAATCCCACAGGACAATGGTGCCCCGCCCAGTGCAAACACGGCTGATGGTGCAACTAATGGTCTGTATGGCGCTTGTGAGGATCGTGATTGCTGAGCCACGATGAGGAGTTTTGAGTGTTTTTCCATGACCCTTACTGGTCGCCCACTCAGCCCGAGTGTTTCCTTGATTTTTTCTTCTTTGGATTTGCCTTTTCTCCCTTATGATGATATTAAGGAGAATATGAGTAACTTTTTATTCTCCCTACAGGACACGCTTTGTTTTCAAGCGTCTCCTGAGAATTTTAGTGTCAAGGTTTATGTGTTACTTCTATTCCTTTTCAAAATGTTTCAATGGCTGCTAATCTTTCTTGCCAGCTTTCTTCCTATCTTTTAGGAAATTGGACGAGAGAATTTGATATTTTACAGTCGGAGTTGAGAATTGCCATTGTCCAGATTAATTCTACACGGGTGGATCCTGTTGTTGCTGAAACCCTGGCCACTTGGATTTGGAACATCACTTCCCATATTAAGGAATGGGTGGGAGTGGTCGTGCTGATTCTGCTCTTATGTGCAGGCTGTGCCTTATGCCTTTTTTTGCCTGTGTCGTTTGAGACACCGCGCTCAGCGAGACTGTGTGACAATACATCAAGCCCTACTAGCCATGCAGTATGGTGACTCCCCCATGGTATGGTTGAGCATGCTTCAACAGGCTTAGTTAAGAGCATGGACATCATGGCTCCTGCACCTCAGGTCATTATGGCATTGCACTGAGTTCGAGCATGATGCATAATGCACCTGACTAGCCCTTGCACCTCGCAGGTCTTATCCATTGCACGCGAGAGGGTAGTCAATCTTATAACTAACTTGTCGAGACATTGCTCTTTACAACCACCGCGGTTGTAGCCCATGACGGGTAAGATAGACCCAGACAATTATCGGTCTAAGACAGGGACTACGTCAAGCCACGCAGCCTCCCTATGACGGATCGTGCGCCTTGAGTCTACAACCTAAGACAGGCCCATACCAGTTTATTTTTCTATTGTATAAGAAGGAGGGAGATGTTGCCAGCCATATCTGTATATACTGGTTACATGCCGTACCCAAAATGGCGCCGGCCAGAGAGGCTAGATCTTGGTGCCTGGTGGATAGTCACGTAGCTTTGGCAGTACCACGCATGCGCCTAACGCATGCGCAGTGAGCTGCGGCGCGGCAGGCACGTAAACACTGGGACTGACGAATCCAGTCGCCCAGAACCCTGCGTAATCATGACGCCGACCTATCATCGGCGGAGGCGGGGCCAGACAGCACATAAGAGTAGAAGCCTGCCGGGATTCACGCTTCCTTCCTCATGTTAGTGTGCACAATAAATTTTACCGCAGGAGACTTCACACGCGTCTGCGTCTTATTGCTGGGCGGTAAGACACGTGGGCGCGACAGTCTTACGCACAGTTCTGTGAGTTGACTTTAGTTCTAGTCAGAACAAGACAGGGCCACTGGCATTCAACCAACCGGTTAAGACACCCACATCACACAGGCGGGGTAAGGCTCAGTCCCTGGCCCCAGCTCCTGACCCCAGGTTCCTGGGGACACTGAGTTT